TCTCGCAGCAACCACGACCCCAGGAGTTGTGGATCCGAATGCACATAATTAACAGCTTCTATGGCAAGGGCTGTATCTTCTGAAGGTACTTGCTCATCACGAAAACCAAGACGCAGGTCCCAAACTGGTCGAGGCACGGGTGAGCGATCGCGGAAGAGCCATCCGACGAAGTCCTCCCAAGGCCAGGCGTGCTAGTGCTCCGACTTTGCCTATCCCCCCAGCCTCCCAACGAGGGTCCTTGTATTCCACAGCAGCTCCCCAAGGATGCAAGAGCGACTCCTCGCTTTAGCGCGGGGCAATAACTACGCTACGGTTCGCGCGCTGCTGGGCTGCAAAGTGGCAATCTCGTCGTCGTGCCATGCATCGGGCAGGGCAGCTTTCAGAGCCTCAGCCAGGAGGCTTGGGAATCCCTGCGCTTCTCAAGACTTCTTCGGAGAGTGGAGCGTCAAAATAACGACGTATCTACAAACCTTCAGGAAACCCCAACAGAAGCCGTAAAGTTTGGGAATCTTAAGGGGCCTGAATTCTCAAACGGACAACCCTGAACTCAACAGAGAGTCAAAGCACCTTCGCGAGCGAGTCATGCTTCACGGTCCCGGTGCCTCTCAAGGTGTGGAACACAGGATGTGTTGGGTTCAACATGGCATCCGTCACCACGGCTCATGTTATTCAAAACCCAGCGTCTTGCAAAGACTTCAGGACTTCAGGTTATGTGGTCTGACTCCGACCCCTGCTCTGCCTGCTTTGTCGACCTTCGCACATTGGGCGATGATCGCTTGCGCCATGGCCGTGCGCTCGACAGGGCTGTGAGGCAAAGGAGCCGAAATCATGCCTGCTTACTCGAAATGGCGAGACCGAGCAGCTGGGACGTTGAGATGCGAGGCTGAATGCTGAGCTCTTGGGCTTTAGACGCGTTCAGGCTAAGACGGCGAGGGCTTGGCGCTCGCTCAAAGTCTGCGCAAGCAAAGCCCGACGGGAGCTTTTTGCATGTCACCGGCACACCCAGGGAGTCGTTAACTGCGGGCGGGATGATGACAACAGAAAGTTGCGACAGCCGTGCTCGTGCTCTCAGGTCGCTCCAAGCGTCCTGACAAGTTCCGAACTGCCGGCTGAAAGACACACACATAACTTTCTGCAGCCACCCTCGCTGACCGGGCCTCATCATCCAGGACCCCTCGTCATTGCGCTTTGCACCTAGTCTACACGGGCGGAGTGGGAGGAGGGAGGAGGTCTCTTGCCTGGAACTGAGCTGAACCGCCAGTAAGAGAACGCCAGACCTACACTTCACGGGCTCGAGGGACGGAGGACGCCCCAGCCGAGAGCTGAGCCCGGGCGATACCGGATAGACCATGCCCTCAGAGTGCGGGTGCCAGACCGGTTGTGGGTGGTTGCTACAGTTTTGGGAAATGCGCTATGCAACAATGTTCGAAATCTATCCCCTTGGTGCACAAGAGATTTCTTTTCTGAGGTCTAGAATCTAGGCGTTTTCTTTGAACGCCTGATGAGCCTTCGGAACATTTTGATACCCTTCCTTCCCTGAAACCATAGCCAATAGCCAATAGCGCCTGTGTGTCCTACTGGCTGAGCATGTTTCGAAGGCCGGCTTCCGACGCAGGGTGCCAGGTCGGATTTGAGCTTCGGGTGAAAGGAGTAGCCGAAAGGACCAGCCAAGAGATTTTTTGCAAAATGGTGCTTACATCAACACCGCTGAAACCCCGCTCCCCGCTCCCCGCTCCGGCCCCGCTCCGCCTCTTCTCTGAGGCCGTCTGTCCTGACCGTCACAGGGGCCTCTCAGCGCGAGCCGTGTCAGAACAGTGGGTTGCCCTAAGAGGCCCTACAGTGGGAGGTCCAAAATGGGCCTATAGCCAAATCTCTCTGCGCTGGCCCGGCCTTCAGAGAAGGCGCTGCACCGTCGGAGCCCGGCCTGCCGAGAGAACTCACATGGCCCCGCGGCCCGCACCTGAACGTTCCAATGACGCACACGACATCGAGCTCTTCGAGACTGACATCCAAGCAAAACCAAATCAACCTGACCACAGCTCTGACGAAGCCTTCACCTTAGAAGAAAGCTATCATCCTCCACAGCCTGGACCCTTTTGCTTCTGCTGGGGCCGGAGTGCCTGAGCTGAGATGAGAGCTTTCAGGGCTCACAGAGTTTGGAGTCGGGAAGGCTCCGAAGACTCAAGCAGCAAGGCCGTGCGGGCCATGCGGGCGCCTTCGAGCGCGTCTGGGTTTGTCGATGGTTCTGCTACCGTTCAAGGGTCTCTGCGGGCGGTCCACAGCGATTGCTGTCTGGGCTCACTAGGTGCCCCGCTGGCCATGACGTCGTGGCTGGTGTCCTGTCCTCACAGCTCCGGGCCGGGATTTCAGACACAAATTCCAACTTGCCTGGGATCGGCATGGGGTGCCACTTACCTGAGGAGGAAGCTACTTTTGGCTCCTTTTTCCCGGGAGCACGCGCAGCAGGTGCACCCGGCGGTACATTTGCTCTGATTCGGGTCTACGTTGGCAGAACTTGTTTTGACCATGACACGGAGCCCTCCATGCCAACCCAAGACCCGACAAATACCGAGCCCGACACGTGGGGGGAACCGGATCAAATCTGCCTCCTGCCGCCGAAGAAATCAAACAGCGGGCATTCGAAGCTGGGGCTTTTTGGCTTCAGCGAATGCATCTCTTCGAAAGCTGCGAACTCCCAGCCTTGTAGTTTGCACGCGTGATCCTGGTCAGCCCGTCTTGGGAAGGAGATCAGTTGGCAACTCCGAAGTCTTCAGCCTCCAAACCTCCACCGCCAAACTGCATCGATCACTCGTCGTTACGGGGTGTTTAGCCTTCGCAGTTCGGTTTTGTAGCTGCTTGCGCTTTCGCCTTGTAGGGCTTAGGGTAGTTGGGGTTTTGGGCTTTTTCCTGGCTTGTTGAAGCCTCTCTTCGCTCAGCTATCCGCGTCCGGAACTCCTAGTGGAGGAGAAAGTGTGCAGGACCTCACGCTCCGAACCAGACAACCAGTATCACGAACCCCCAACCCCAATCAACCGAGGCCTGATCCTGCACCAAAAGCAAAGGCCTAGAGTACACAGTAGAGATTTGGATTATGCACCTCTCGTATACGGCACATGAAAAACCAAGCCTGAAAAGCATACAGCCTGGCGAACTCTGATAAGTCATGAGAGATGCGACAGCCGTTTCGCGGTGTTTGGGGTTCAGCACACATCATCCCGAGATCCGAGCGGCATCCTCGATCAGTCCATCAACCCTAAACTTTAGAAACCCTAAACCCTAAAACTCTCAAAAACCAAAAACGACACAACCCATTTCAAGCCCATTTCTTCAGTGCAAACCCCCACGCAATCAAGCGGTCAGCTGCAAGAGGTTTATGGTTCGAACCACAACGCTTTGAAGTTTACCGACTCAGCTTCTGAGCAACACACCGCAACACAGAAACCCCTACATCCTTCGCCCTAAACCCCAAATACCGGTTTTCGGGATTAAGGGCTTTGGAGATCCTGCCTGTTTCGATTTCTCTAGGAGGACTTCGCACGTAGGGTGAAAGGCAACGCAACTGCTACCCATGAACCTTCTAGTACTGGCGGCACAGAGGTGGGAAAGAGATCGTACTTTAGGCTGCTGCTGGATAGTAGATAGTACTACATACAAACAGGCGGCACGCACCAAAGGAGAAGTTGCCAGAAAAACAAAGGGGAACCCCAAACCGTAACTACCATGGTAGTTCTGTAAGTTTGGGTCTTAAGGATGAGTCTGTGAAGCATACCCGAAGCCTTGAACTCTGAGCGCTTCACCCTATTCGCTCAGGTACCGGGAGCGGCTCGAAGACCATCTCCATGAAAGCCTGCGTGAGAATGAGGAGGCTTCCACAGGGCTCACAGCTCGCAGCGGCCAGTCGCTGCGGCTTCAAAGCTTCAGGCTTTCCGTGAACGGAAGGCGGGCAAGGAAGGTCTCACACCCACTCGGACTCTCCTTCTTCTGCTCGGAGTCCGGCTCAAGTGCAAAGAAGTCGTTCTCTTCGAACTCGCCTGCGGAAGCTTTAAGGCTTGACCTCTTAAGGCTTGGCGCAGTACGTCGGTTCACAGGGCTGTAGGGCATGGAAGGGATCGACCATGCGGTGCTGCCACGAGGCTTCTCTGCCACTTGACCTCCGGCTTCTTCGCGTACGCCTCATAGTTTGACCTCAGTCAAACCAGACCGTCGCAGCACAAGAAGCACTGTTGTGCAGCACCTGCTGCGCACCGGTTAGAGGCATCGACTTCATGCTGTGGTTTGGCATCACGTCGGGTGTTGGCAGGCGGAGATTCGTTGACAGGCTGACGGTGCTCGGATGCAGCTCGGAAGCCCACAGAAGATCCCCAAGACTCACCCACGACAAATGTAGCTTGCCATCTACACAGAGGCTCTGTCTCACCTGACATAGCACAGCATCTGCTCATCCTCGTCCACACGTCATGCTCCGAAATGCCCGTGGGCCCATGGGGACTTCTCAGCATCAATCACTGGCCAAAGAACTTGCTTCGGGGCCACTGCGAACAGTCGTAAGGGGCAGGCTGCAAAGCGTACATGGGATCATCCCAGGTCCACTTCCTGGCGACTGCATAGTGGTGGCGGTGGTGGTTATGATGATGATGATGATGATGATGTTGATGAGGGCCAAGCGGATCCGGATGATAATGCCGAGGTGGAGGAGCAGGAACAAGCTGAGGAGGAAGAGGAAGAAGAGGAGGCGGAGGGGTGGATGGATGAGGAGGAAGCGGACCAGCAGGAGGAAGAGAAATGACGACGATGATGAAGAACGCGACGATCATGATTAGACTGCCTGGCGGTCTTTGCACATGCCACGAGGGGAATTTGGAACCATCACAATCAACATCACACAAGTCTCAGACACCGTCTGAACAGTCTCACAGCGCACTTTGAGAAGCAGCCTCAGACGCTGGAAATGGTTGCAAACTGTCGAACCTGTATTGATGTTCTCTAACAGCTTTCCAAGTCTAGAGTCTAGGGGACCAAATGGGTCCTGAGATTGATGTGAAGCTTCTTGTGCAAACCCTTTTACTGATGCTAAACACCCGGCTACTCCAAACAATGGTGATGATGATGATGATGAGGATGAGACCGAGGCCTGGAGCTGAATATTGAAGACTGTGGCCTCGCATGCATCTTGCCACCTTCCTGTGAATCCCGGCAGCCCTGGGAACCAAGCAAACTCTGTTTGAAGTTCCTGAAAGCACTGCCCAATCATGCAGGGTTGGCTTCTGCGCCTGCCGCTCCGAGCCCTGAGGCGCACACAGGGGAGTCGAAAAGGAGAAGTGCCAGGCTGCTAGGGGCTAAGGCGAGCCGCCTCCCTGGGCCGCTCGGGAGATGGCGCCGGCACCGGCCGGGGCGTCGGCTCTTCTTCGGCTTCGGACAGCCTCTTCTCCTTCCATCGGGAACTTTCAACTTCCCAAAGCCTCAGTTGCGACACGCCTTGCCTTGGTCTCTTTGGCACTTTCCGAAGGCTTGCTGTGTTGGACGTCCTGCACACGATGAAGCGGACAGCGGGTGAAGAAGCTGTTTCGAGGCTTGCGGCGTCCTCAGCTTCTGCATCCCTCAAACCCAACGTCCGAGTGAACACCCGAGCCTTTGCCACATTGAAGAGAAATTCAACCTGGCTTTGCAGACAGGGTAAACGAAGGATGTTTGAAGTGGCGGAAGTGGGAAGACAGTCTGGGGACGTTTCACCAAGACTTCGAAAGCTTCGACACCGCCCGGTTCACGGCAAACGGTTTCCTTCGAACAGGTAAGCCGGCTCGTTGCTCTCCCCCGAAGCATTGTCATCGTCACGTCGTCTTCATCAGTCCTGCGTCGCGTTGAACACGCCGTTCAAATCATGATGTCGCTACGGAGCACCTGGCCGTCTTTGAGCCGCTTGCAGCTTGGCTTTGTGACATGTTTTGGCTCTATGCCCGCTTCTTCGCTTGGAGCATCGTGGCGGACAGTTGAGGCGTCTTCATCCTTGGTCCGTGACGGGCAAGCCTTGTTCGCTCTTCCAAGTGGCTTCTTTACTGAGGCTATCCACCATCTCGCTTGCATCGCTGGCAGGAGCTTGTTCAGCGCAATCTTTCGCATGGTGCGTGGTCGTATGCACTCTTGGACTGCTGCTCAAGGCACGGCAGCTGCCGCTTTGAAAAATTGCATGTGCTCGACATACCGTTTTTCGCTTGAGGCTTCACTGACTGGAACACTCTTACTACAATGCACCCTCGCCGTTCTTTGCTTCCCAAACTTCGCCAAACTCTTCCCAATAAACCTGTGTCCATAATCTAACGAACCTCAATTCACGAAGGCCGACACGAATCTTTCACCACACACATGAGCCGGGGGTACGAGTGTGGTAATGTCCATCTTCAACTCCAGGTGCATGCCAATTTTGAGTTGCGGTCGGCCTGGCAAAGGAGCTTGCCGGCCTGTGCACCCCAACCCGCCTCACGACGCTGTTCAAGTCCACATCCCTGGAAAATGCTCCATCCCGATCCCAGACTTTGATGTAGGCCTGCTTGCAGTTGCCTGTCCAAACATGTCGTACTTGTGCCGAAATCCCGGATGCGGCCTGTTACCGGATCCAGCTCTGTCCTCGACGTCGGCGGGGAGCTGCTAGGCGTGAGAGTCAGAGGCCTCGGACTTTCATCTCGGGAAATTGAACGGCACATGCTTACAGGTTATCGGACTATGGCTGTGGGGTTTGAGCACACAAACGCTTACAGGTCAAACGTAGCTGTGCGGATCGGCCTGCCCACCCTGACGCTCAACCACTGAATGGAGAACATCGAGCATGTCCAAGCCTGAGCCCTGAGCAAGCCAAGACTAGAACAACAAATCGTGGTAAAGATGTCTGCAAGGCCTGCCAGATAAGACATGGGACTCGAAAACAAAGGTATGGACCTCAAAAGCAGCCATGGATGGCAAACCCTGAAGGCCTGAAGCCCAAGTCTCGTCAAACAGAGCCACGAAAGTCTGCTGAAAGAGACACACGCGAAAAATGCAGGCCGAAAGAGGCCGGTATTCCCGTGGGGCGCTGGCAGCGACCCCACTGCCATAGTGACAGCCCGAGTGCCGCCACCTTGATCTGCAGCACTTCTAATGCCAACACGACTCAAAGGAGGGCTCGAAACTGTGGGCCAGGCCGGCACAGCCCCACAGCCCGACCCTGGCCCCAAAAAGCACTTGAGCCGAGGAAAAGCCGATAGAACTTCCTAGGCCGGGCTCACAGCCTTTGTGCAGGGCTCAGTAGGTGAAGCCTTGTCTGTGGGGATTCGGGCTCGTAGAAGGCATTTCCCTCGATAGCGCACATGCTCATTGTCAAAGCTTCGAAAAGCACTAGAGCCGCTAGACTCGAAACCTTGCTCGGGCCTGCAAGGGTTTCGAATTCCGAACTCGAAGCTTACCCAAGCCGCACCTGACCCCATCTGCCCCGGCCCATCTGCCCGCCAGAAATGCGAAGGATGACCACACGCAGCACAAAGAAACCTTGATGCAGAGGCTTTAATATTAAATGCACTGGCGGTAGCACTGGGACTGCACCAATGAATCCAAACGCTACGTCACGTATAAACTAATGATAAGCCGAGAAGCACAACAGCTCTGCAGAACACAAAACCCCCTGTAGAGCCTTTACAGCACCCCTTCAACTGCTACACTACACAAAGCCCGCGGCTCAGAATTCGCCCGTGGCATGCCCGAGCTGGTACCACCCTGATGCGCAAGAACGCACCGCGGCACCCACCGCCTCGCCGTGGTTCATGTGTCCGACATGGCAACATCGTGGCATTGAAAGTTGTTGGATCCGGCGCTGCGACATGGCATAAGACATCTTGCTTTGCCCTGCTCGGCCATGCAGTGGCACTCAAATCCCTTCAGAACCACCACGATGTCCGATTCGTGATCCCCACTGTCCAAGCTGGCAGGCGAAAGCCAAAGGCGGCATAGTCCTGCAATCACACGACATCAGCATCGCACAAAACAACCAGAACACTTCAGGCCAGGGGATCTGCAAGTAGAGACAGAGAAGGCCCCCTTGGGGGTCCCGGGCCTGGGCGGTGTAGCGCAGCACGTTCTCCAGCGTGTCCTGCCATGGGGGGTCCAGGAGTGGTCTCGTTTACGAGGCGGCACTGGCTCATGACACGAATACCTGTAGCGGGTAAGGGGAATTAAGAGATCCATGGGGTGAAGCTGCTCATGGCCACTGCAATATGTCGTGCTGACTTGTTCAGCCCCAGTCCTGGTTGTAAAACTGGCTGAAGATCGACATTGTGCGGTCATGGTACGTATTCGTGTGCAGTGCTGCACCTTCGCTTGCATAACCTGTCCCGGGAAAGTACTCATCTGCCAGACGCGAAGACCTCTGTAGCGAAAAGCCAATGACAGCATGCAACATCTCGAAGACCTGCCAGTTTACTGCGTTTCGGTCTGCCGTCAAAAGCCCTACAAAGTCGACACGCTGGAAAATGAACCGGCAGCCCTCGTTCAGAAAGATGCTCTGAGGAATCCAGTGGTCGTCGATCACCATGTTGGGACTTGGGAGCCGCTGAGCGGCGAAAATGCGAAAAGCTGCGATCTGCTCATGCCGCGAGCTCTTCAGGCTCACGCCTTCCCATCCCTGTCGGTTTGTTTCACAGTTTCTCGAGGACTGCATGCATTTGTCAAGAAACGCCGAAAGGAAGCGCTCCAATGGATCCCGCACGAATGCCACAAACTTGAACGTTGGACTCCTCCAGTAATGATAGCACGCGCGCGAATGAACAAAGCGGTCCGATCCACGTGACTCTGGCTGGATGATGTCTTCATAGGTCACATTCCGATGATGGAAATGATGATCCAAGAGGAAAAACTGCATGAGACCCACCTTTGGTACAGAACAAAGAGCATAGCGATGCTTCTGGCTAACATGCATTCGATACGTATACAACGACCACCTGAAGCGAAAGTAATATTTAGTCTGCGCGTTGGAAGCGAAGGCGGAGCGAGCAGGACGCACACGCCATGAAGATGGATTCAGGTACCAAAAAGGCTTCCGATCATCTTTCTGTTCCACTAGGGATTTCAGTTGCGATGCTCTCCACGCATCCTGAGTGTGGCTCATCCGCAAGCGGACTCGGCTCCGTATCGGTGCTGGCAATTGCAAAGCACCCTTCTGATGCCCCAGTTTTAAGAGAAGGACATGCCACCCGAGCAGCAGTTCAGACCTTCGCGAGCACATGTTTGGTACGCACACACCGATCACAGATAAGTTGAGCAGGCGCGCCGAACTCATGGAGTTCAGCTGCTCAAGGACAGGCGTATGCCGCTGGGTTCCCCAGATCTCCATCAGTTTCTTGCTTGGAGGACCCACGGACCGAAAGCCCCTTGCCCAGTTCTGGCTGTCCACCAAGCCATGCGAATACAAAACGTATCGTGAGCCCATCGTGACACATTGGTCAAGTTGCGCTGACCAAGCATCGGACAAGAACAGCGACTGGCCACTGGCAATGGCAAAACGAGTGTCGGAGTTGAAGTGGGCAAGACATCGCTCGTCTGCAGCCCGACGCTCATCGAATGAAACCTCAGACAGATGCAGTTCGTGAGCAACAAGTTTCTGCAGCTGCCTCAGATACGGCTTCAACACCTGCCCAGCTTGCAGCTGAAGAAATACAAATGGAAGTATTGCGCCTTTTCCGTGCCACATATTCTATGTCGTGTGCGGATCTTTGCTTGCAGAATGTGCCGGGTGTGAAGCACACCCTCCTGGCAGGACTGGCCATCGGCCGACTGCAGCAGGTTGCTAAGTCGCACATATGGCTTTGGGCAGCACGAGGACAAGCATCTACTCAAAAGTAGGATTTAAGCAGTTTGGAATCACTAACCATATGTAGACTTCCTGTTTCGAGCGCATAGCTCATGCCGGCTTCTTCACCTGCTGCCTAAACCACAATATCTCGTATTGGCGTCGACGCTTGAACCATCGTGGGATGACCATGTTGTCCGTTACTCTGTGACCGTGGACGTCACAGCTGGATCATTGCTGTTCGAAGAAGCGAAACTCATCTAGGTAGCTGAACAATCCTCGCAAGCACTCACAGGAGCCATCGGAGGGTGCAGACCCTATTTCCAATCTTGTCCAAGGCCTTGTCCGATGTGTAAGAGACAATCTTCAAACCAAGCAATTAATTCGGGTTTTTTTGTTGAGCCTGTTAAACTAGATAAGCAGGCGAAACGCTGCACACTAAGCCCTCGTGTGGATCTTCGTGGGATGAAGTCTGGTCATTTGGGGCCAACAGTTGCAAAGGCATTTTGCTCTGCGAGAGGCAACACTCCTGACGGGAGTCAGCAGCCAGCAGCCGCAACTGGCATCACCGCAGCAGCCATGGCTGTTGGTTTTCCATCGCCAAGCACAGAACTGTAGTGAAGAACTTCTTGTCCCAGCCGCTGGCCGCTGTTGCCAGGCGCCAGCTTGCTGGCTCTCCTGTCTAGTTCCCTGGACCTGATTTTCGGTGCGAAGACATCAAACACACCTCTCGTTTGGTAAAGCTGTGCACAGGTGCACAGCTCGCTGCAGGAGCTAGCGCTACCTGGTGTCGAGTAGAGTCGGCAAGGAGCGTTCGGGCTTCACAGTTGCAGGTCCCTTGGACATGCCGGGCAGTGTTTGCCGCAAGACATTGGTCTAACTTCGAAGGACCATTCCAGGGTAAGTAAGCCTTGCCGGCGAGTTCGTTTCACCGGATCTGGCGCCAGCAGACTCTCGTCTCTTGGAGACGGGTTGTGCACGGCGCTTGCGAAAGCAGCTGCCTTCAGTGCAAGGCTGGCACACATCTCAGAATCAGAAGCCGTGCACGAGGGACATCTGCCTTGGAGGCGGATTTCTTCTGAGATTCAAGGGAAGTCGGTGGCGACAGTGGCCCTAAGCGAAGACCCCGGTAGCCTGCATCTCAGAAGCCACAATAACATCCCGCAGACAGCCGGAGATCTCTGTGCTGCGCTCGACCATGAACAACCGAGGGAGGTAGCAGCTTGAGGTCTCGAGGTCTGGGCTCTGGACTCACCGGGCTCGTTGATAAGACGTCCGAAACCCCCGAAGCCTGGACCTTACGATTCGCAAACTCCTGCATCACAGCAGCGGGTGTGCGAAGACGTTGCTCCCTGGCCAGTTGTCGGAATGAGAACAAGACTCAGAAGCGGGAGAGCAGGAAACATGCTATCAAGACCAAAAGGTAAAGGGTGCACCAAGAGAGAGAGAGAGAGAGAGA